CCATTCTTGGTTTTAGGGATTTTAAAACTTTTTAAAATCTTTAAAAACTTTTTAAATTTTTGAGAAAAAGACCCCACATTGGGGACCACATAATTTTAATTAGAAGTTTGTTCCAATAATAGATGCCACTATAGACACTTCTTGTTTGAATATGTCTGTGAGTAAGCAGATAATTCTGCAAATAGCTTGGTCCCAGACTGATTAGGTCTTTTAAAACAAATGCCACCATCTTCAAAAAGGTTTACAAGCTGATTGGCAGCTAAGGTAGAGGTTTCTACATAGTACTGTAAGATTGTACCCAATGAGACACTTTACTGAGTAACTTTGTCACAACATTTAGTGCTAGCCATAACCATTTTCATCATGAATGTAAATTCCCAATTACCATTTCCATATAAAACATATGTTAGCTACTCCCCCTTCTGTCTAACCCATGGGGAAACACTAAATGCAGGAAATAGCTGTTGTCCGATTGTGATACTTGCACTCAATCTCATTCTCAGATTTATATTCACCTACTCATATGGTGAATATAACTTTCCTGAGCATTGAATAAGCTGGGGTGACCATGCAGAATGTGATTTTGAAATCAAAACCTCTGCAACCACTATCTGAATTAGCACACCAGTTTTCTTTAGGTCAAGTAAAATTATCAATTTAACTTCCAAAAATATCCTTTTTTTTAAAGTATGTGAAATAGAGTAACTATATATGATATATCAACCCCCTCTTCTCTGTGACAGCGCCTCAAGTATTGGTGCACAGCTATCATGTCTAATCCATTTTTTTTGTTAGACATAACTAGTTCCCTTAATCCAGGGGTAGGCAACCTTGGCTCTTTTATGACTTGTGGACTTCAGCTCCCAGAATTCCTGAGCCAGCCATGCTGGCTCAGGTATTCTGGGAGTTGAAGTCCACAAGTCATAAAAGAGCCAAGATTGCCTACCCCTGCTTTAACCGTTCATCATATGGTTTAGCCTCCAGCCCCTTATCATCTTTTTTGCTTTTCTCTGGTATTCTGTTCTAGCTACATGTGCCCTTCTTTTCATTTTTTTTATACTTGTCCTTCTTGTTCATCAGTTTGTTACAGAGCTCTTTGTGCGACCATGTTGGTCTCATCTGGTTTCTTTTGTTTTTCTTTCTCTGTGGAATTGTTTTTGTTTGGGCCTTTAGTATTTTGTTTTTCCGAGTTTCCCATGCATCCTGAATGCTTCTCCTAGGATTTCCATCCATGGAATCCTTCGTAATTTCTCTTAGTTTGTTAAAATAAGCTCTCTTAAAATCTAAAAAACTGATCTGACTATGTTCAGTTGCCTTTGCCTGCATTATGCTGAATTCTAGTATGATATGGTCATCTCCCAATGTTTTTTGTAAAATGGGAATATAAAAGAGATATAACTTATTTACCATATTTAAATAATTTAAGTCTCACATTAACTCAAATATATATATATATATATATATATATATATATATATATATATATATATATATATATATATATATATATATATATATATATATATATATATATATATATATATATATATATATATATATATATATATATATATATATATATATATATATATATATGGACCTCATCTATTTCTGTGTCCTGATTTTGCCCATTGTTAAGAGACTTCTCCCTAGCAGTGCTATCCTCCAGATATGCATATTCCCAGAATTTCCCAGCTACAAGACCATTGCTGAGAAAACTGAAAGTTGTCCATACATTTCAAGGCTTCCAGTGTTAGGGAAAGCTGTTTTTAGCACACTACTCAAATACCCAGTTTAGCCTTTGGCCTGAAAAAAGCAAGTACCACTGACATCAGCAAGTTTACAAACAACAGATAAAACAAACCTTTAGAACTGATTCTAGAATCACTGATGTTACATTTAGCTTTATTTACTTTTTATATTCATATCATATCATATCATTATTATTGCATTTTATTATATATTTTGTAAAGTTCCTAATGCTCAATTGGATTGAGGCAGTGTACAAATTTCCTAAATAACTAAATTTTGATTCAAATTTGAAATGACACTTTACAGAAGGAAGATGAGTTGTTTTCTTCCTATCTCAGATTCTGAGTCTGAGTTCCTTGGGGGAAACAATACATTTAACAATACAAATACCAACAATGGTCAGAGCAAAGTCAAATGAGGGAGAGAGAGGGAACAAATGATGAGGTAGTTATTGAATGTTAATATTTGGCCAGAAATGTAGAAAATATTTGGATTGAGAAAACAATCAGAATACATATAGAAAAACCTGTGTCAAAACAAGTGGAAGTTTGCATTTATTTGATGCAAAATCTCTGCCACTTCACAGAAGCTATTCCCTCTTTACTATACTGCCTAGTCTGTGTCTATATGAAAGTCAGATCAACATAATATTAACCATTTTAAACCATTTAAAGCCCTATTAAATAAAAGTCTCAGATTATTGCCAACAGCATATTTGGCAACATATATATGTCATTTAAGAGTCAGCTTCAATTGGAGTGGTTTATAAGCTTTGTAAAATGAATATTTTTGCATTTCAGTTACCATCTGGAGGTAAGTGGTTAAAATGTAGCTTTTCCCAACAAGTCTTGAGATTAACTTCTATGCTTTGTTTCTTATCTGATTACCGGCAGGCTTTTAAATATTTTATGAAAAATTTTATGAAAATTGTTGTTTACGTTTTAAAATTGCTTTTTGTGGATGAACTGCCTAGACATGTATAATAGTGGTGTATAAAAATACTGGAAATGAATACTGGCATAACTGAAATACTATTTGATATTAACAAGTCTTGAGATTAACTTCTATGCTTTGTTTCTTATCTGATCACCGGCAGGCTTTTAAATATTTTGCTATTTTATGAAAATTGTTTTATGTTTTAAAATTGCTTTTTGTGGATGAACTGCCTAGACATGTATAATAGTGTATAAAAATTCTGGAAATAAATACTGGCATAACTGAAATACTATTTGATATTAAGCAAAATGATCTGTCATGCAGCTGCCAATAAGGAAGCTCTTTTCATTACTATGGAAGGCAGTGTGGTATAATGGATAGAATTGGTTAAGCATGAGCAAAGAATTGGCTAAGCATGAGCAAAGAAGATGGGGAGTCCACTCAGTGAACACATCAACAAAAGTCCGATTTTATCTTTTGTATTGTGGAATATATGAATTCAGAATATCTCCACTAATACATCATAGTTATCATGTTATCGTAACATAGTAGTTATGATTAGTTATCATAACACAATATTATTTTAACGAAACAAAATTTCTAACCGGAGTAAGTTCCTGATCTAATATTAGTGGGAAATGTGTGAGTGTTGATCTCTTTCTTTATTCTCTTGCAATGAACCCAAAGCTCTTCAGATTTCCAACTTTTTTCCCCTTGAAGACAGAGATGCTGTGGGACAAGGACTAGATTATAATGTGGGAAATGTGTGAGTGTTGATCTCTTTCTTTATTCTCTTGCAATGAACTCAAAGCTCTTCAGATTTCCAACTTTTTTCCCCTTGAAGACAGAGATGCTGTGGGACATCTCCTTAAGTTGGGAAAATATTACCGTATTACTAGGCATTAGGTCTCCAGTCAGGCCTATAAAAGGGTTTATATGCCTTTGTGAGTGACACGAAGACCCAAAACCAAAGACCAAAACTACAAATAAGTAATGGTGCGTATTCCCCATAAACTGTGTTGGACTGTCTTGATCGTGTACTCTCTTAACTGTGGCTGAAGAGAAAGGGAAATGCAAACGCCGCGTCTGTCTTGCTCCTTGTCAAAATTACTCCACGTTTAGTTGCGCGGAGGAAAGCCTGCGTGGAAGAGGCACGCGCACCTTCCCCGAGTAGTGGAGGCCAAGGCGGGCGGAGGGAGATGCCACTTCTGTCGCCTCCCCGCTCTGGACGGAATAGGCCATCGATTCCCCGGCCTGTCGCTATGAGGAGCTCAAGGAGAGCAAGGCCTGCGGTTCCCACTCAAGCCCCGGCCTGGAGTTTGCATTTCCCTTCGGAGCGGATGGGAACTCCGCCTAAAGCAGCAGTGGGGGCTGACAAGAAGAACCGCTGCCCTCGGATTCCTTCTCCGGTGAAAGGCGCGGAAGGAAGCGGCGAAGCCCGAAGGGGCTCCTCCCTCCTTCGCCCACCACCCCGTCGCCGCAGCTCACGTCAACTCCGAGTCTCCCCGACACCTGACAGCAGCCCCCCTCCTCGTTCACCCCCGCTCGTTTCCCCCTCCAGCTGCAATTAAAACCGGGCAGTAAAATAAGCATAGGTGCCCCCCCCTTCCGGGGAGAGGGAGGAAAAAGAGAGAAAAGCTTGCAAATTACAATAACTCTCGGCTTCTGGCAGGCAATAAGTGCTTCCTTCTTCCATCCCGTTTTCAAAAACCACCCCCCGCCCCCTAAGCGGAGTAAAAAACAAAACACAAAAAAACCACACATCTGACCCGGACCCCCTTCAAATCCGGACCCAAACCCCTATCTCGGACTCCCCTTTACGACGCGTTGCGTCTCAGTTACGGACTTCGTCGGATAGCGCTGGGAATTTTCTACGCGTCTTATCCATTTTGTTTCCAGTTAACTCCGACACCTCCAGCAGGAGAACGAAACATCCTGTTATTAATTAATACACCGAGACACCCAGAGCAAAAAAAAAACAAAACTCCTATAAACCTTCCGGAGGAGCCACTGCGTCCGGATGGGGAAGCCCAACTTCCCCCCCCCCTCCTGCAAGCTGGAGCTCAATAAACAGGATTGGGAGCAGGGGATAGGACCATCCCCCCTCCCCCCCCAAACTGTCAACCATTTTAGATCTATATTTGGGAAACCTTAGGGTGTGTTTGGGGGGAGAGGGAGGGCATCTGCTTCTCCAGTCGGGTTCGGCGATGCGGGGCGAGGGGAACGGAGAAGAAGGAGATTAAAATTGGGGGGGGGGAAGCGGAGGGGGGAAGGAGGGGGGGGNAGGGGGGGGAGAGGAGGGCTTGCATTACCTGAGACCAGCCATTGGCCTCCATTGTTGGAGAATTCAATGGCATTGACACAACCGAAGTGCCCCAGCAGATCCTTCTTGTAGAGGTTTCTACAGCCTCGCAGGCGCCTCCGCTGAAAGTCCTGGGTGAGCAGAGGGTCTCCCTGCAAGCCCCTCTGGGACAAGAAGCCCACGACTGACCTCATGTTGCCCCCTAGGCCAGCTCGCCGTCTCATGGTGCTGGTGCTGGTCCCCCACTTGCCCCCCTCGCTCGCTCGCTCCCTCGCTCCCTCCCTCCCTCCGCTTTCTCCCCGCCCTCCCTTGTTATGGTTATGATGATTTTCTTTAGCCGGCCATAGCAGGGGAGAGGTATTAGACACTCCGTTGCTTCCTGATCCCCTTTAAACTCCTCCCCTGCCTTACAGCGGCGGCGGCGGCGGCGGCAGCAGCTGATTCACAGCTGCAGCCTTTTCCTTGGTGCGATTCTTCTGCCGGCTGCTTCCTTGGACTGAACGTTGCTCGGGGGGCCAGTGGTTTTGGAGATCGAGGATGTGCTCTTGACTAAGTGGTCCCTCGCCACCATCATCACTATCATCATCATCACCACTCCTTCCCTATAAAATCCAAGATCGGCGGAAGTATATTTGGCTTTCGCTGGAGACCGAGCAGACGTTGAATCCACCATCACTCTTATGTTACGGAGTTGCCACAGCGGAAAGCCAATAGATCTCGCTCGGGCGGGACAAGAACGGGTAGATAGGATAAAAAGCGGCGAGCCGCCCGATGCCGTTTGCCCTGCCTTCCTCCTTTACGATCTCCATTAAAGTAACTTATGAAGTTGAGCAGGCGTAAGGAGACATAACCAGATTCAGGAACTTCCTGGAGTTTTCTTCAAAATTCTTTCTAGGACAATAAAACTTCTTGACCGGAAGATGAGATTTCCGAATTCGCTTTTTAATCTTTCTCTGGTGACTATTGCTGACATTTTATATATTCCTCACGGTATCGTGGAAACCTAATCGTTTTGGTTTGAATCGACCAAACGACAGAAGGTTATTTTTCCTGTGTGTGTGTGTGTTTTAAAACACATTCTGAAATGTTAACATTTCCTAAAAAGACATCTTAGGAAATAATTCCATACCAATTAAATATTTTGAAAAGGGATTCTGGGGAAGAGATATATTGTACCCAAGAAATGAATAAAACAATATGGGTAGTCCTTGACTTACAACCACAATTGAGCCCAAAATTTCTGTTGTTAAGTGAGACATTTGTTCAGTGAGTTTTGCACCATTTTATGACATTTCTTGCCACAGCTGTTAAGTGAATCACTGCAATTGATAAGTTAGTAACCTAGTTATTAAGTGAATAACTAGGTTACTAACCTAGTTATTGACTTTGCATGTTGGAAGATCACAAAAGGGGATCACATTACTCTGGGGCACTGCGACCGTCATAAGTATGAACCAGTTGCCAAGCATCTGAATTTTGATGATGTGACCATGGGGATGTTGCAAAGGTTGTAACTGAAAAACGGTCCTAAGTCACTTTTTTCAGTGCCGTTGTAACTTTGAACGGTCACTAAATGAACTGTTGTAAGTTGAGGACTGCCTGTACTTGCTGAAGACTATCTTAGTGGAACTTACATGAAATGTACAGGACTCTGCCTCATCAAAGTGTACATTACCTCATGGAATATTTCTGTCTTTAGTTTGTCTTTAAAGGGAACTTAAATTGCTGTAGAATCTGCTTTGACAACTTTATGCTATATATACAATTTTTTAAATACATGGTACATGGTGCATACATGTTTGATATTAATATAAAGCTCCCAAATAGGTGAGTTTATAATAGTGAAATTTATGGCTTTTCATTTGGTTCACAGTGGGATATATTAATAGCAGAGATAATAGGGTGATCCGAGGAGGATGCCATTATCTAATGTGAAATAGGAGTGGGTAAACCTACAGATGACACCTGATCCTTTTGCATTACCACAACCTGACTTGGAAGTATGTGGATGAGCCTTATATCCTACTAGTCACTGACAAAGAGCAATTCATATACTCTAGGACCACTGCAATGTTCCTGGGACACATCCTCCCATGGCACCAGATATATTCAGATAATAGATTCCACAGCAGCTCTCTGAAAGATATTCCTCAGCAAGAGCTTAATACACCTGATACCTAATCCTCAATTTTATCCAAGAGAAAAAAACAGAATGTGATCTAGCACTGAGGGTATACAGTCATAGACCATTTGCAATGTTTAACCTTTTACACAACATATCACATGGGTTATTTTTACTTTGGTTGGTTTTTTTTTTTTGGCATAGTGAGTTGTGCAACCTCAGTTTGATATTATGATTCACTGTATTATGTGAATTCAGAATATACCTTAATTCAGCAACCAAGAAAGAGGGTTAGTAGAGTTACAGAGCCATGCTGCCTTTGGCTGTGCCAGACACATGATTCCATAATTTGCTGAACTATTGAATTTATTTATTGAATTAATCCTATTATATATATTAAAAAAACTCACAATTATATTCAGTCAGCCAAAAACAAACCATACCAAAATATTGAAATATGTGTTCATATTAATACATCATATAATTAATTTGCCAATTGTATAATAGCCTAGATTATTATGTAAACATAACTTATGATAACTCATCCAATATCTTAGGTTAGGAAACTAGGTTCTGAACTATGTAAAAAGCACTTTTGAGTTTTAGATATAAGGTGTTACCAATGTACAAAATGCAGAATTGAAATCAAAACTATTATAGCTTGGGATTTTATTAATTTATACAATTGTACATAAATATAAATTAAATATTAAAAGATATCCAACAAACTTATTTACCTAAGGAAGAAGAAGAAGGATTCTTCTTCTTCTTGTGCCATGTCCGTTATCGGACTTTGGTGATCATGTTGGTGGTCTTGTTTTTATCAGCAGCTGCACAAAAAAGTGCTGCTCAGTTTTGTCCAAACCAATCTCTTAGATTTTGAAGCCGCGATCTTCTTCTTCTGCCTGGACCTCATTTGCCTTCAATCTTTCCCTGGAAGAGTAAATGGAGTATGCCATATTTTTCTGGGTGTTGCATCACATGTCTGAAATATTCTAACTTTCGTTTTTTAATTGTTTTGATGATTTCCCTTGGCTTTCCCAGGTGGCTTATCACCTCCTCATTTCTGATCTTGTCAACCCAGCTTATATGTAACAGCTGCCTGTAAATCCACATTTCAAATGCTTCTAGTCTCTTCAGGTGGCCTTCTGTCAGAGATCAACTCTCTACTCCATAGAGCAGGATAGAAAAAATATAACATCTGACAAGCCTGATTTTCAATCTTAGGCTTATGTCGTGACTGCAGAAGACCTTTTTCACTTTGAAGAATGCTGTTCGAGCTTTCTCTATCCTTGTCCTTACTTCAGTGGTCATGTCCCAGCTTTCATGTAAATTAGAACCGAGGTGCGTGACCCTTTCAACTTTTTCTAATGGTATTCCTTCTGAATTAATTGGTGGTAAATTAACGGTTGTTCTCTGACAACCATGATCTTGGTTTTTGAGGTGTTAAGCTTCAAGCTGTATTTTTCAGATATTTCTGTGACTCTGTTGATGAGGAGCTGAAGGTCTTCATGCTTACTGGCAAGCAGAACAGAGGATTATTATGTAAAGCAAATTCTCCCCATCTAACATTTGGTTATTCTTTTCCTACGTGGTAATGAGATTTGATTAAAATGAACTTTACTAAAACTGTTACCTAGGTGGCATGCTAAGTTGCTGAAAGAAATTACCATTTGCTGAATATGTTTGCTATGCAATACTTATATCATGAAGAATAAAAGTTTTTTCCATTTAATAGTGCTTGCCTTCTGCTATGATCACAGCAACTTTTATGTTGGTTTATAGCCCCTGGGCAAAACCAGGATTGCTATTAATATTATGAGGAGTCTCCCTCTCTCATGAGCACACACGCATGCTCTAGCAATTACATATGACTGTCATAGACATTTTTGTTATTAATTTTCTCCTTCCTCCACCTCCAAGTGGCAACTGAATCTGGGCAATGCTTTGTGAATTTCATAAATAGACTCTATTAATTGCTTTTGAGATAAATTCATCGTAAATGTGAAATGTACTTTTTTCAGTACCGTTGTAACTTTGAACGGTCACCAACACCAAACTGTTGTAAGTCGAGGATTCCCTGTAATGCACTTAGCCAGAAGGCACTTTCCCCTTTTCAGAGCAAGTGAAACTAAGTGAAGGGACATGTGAATACAGGTAGTCCTCGACTTACAACAGTTCATTTAGTGACCATTTAAAGTTACAACAGCACTGAAAAAAGTGACTTATGACCATTTTTCACACTTACAACCATTGCAGCATCCCTATGATCACATGATCAAAATTCAGACGCTTAGGAATTGACTAGCATTTATGACTGTTGTAGTGTCCCAGGGTTATGTGATCACCTTTTGCGACTTTCTGACAAGCAAAGTCAATGGGGAAGCCAGATTCACTTATAATAATCGTGTTATTAACTTAACAACTGCAGTGATTCACTTAACAATTGTGGCAAGAAAGGTCGTAACATGGAGCAAAATTCACTTAACAAATGTCTCGCTTAGCAACAGAAATTTTGTGCTCAATTGTGGTCGTAAGTCAAGGACTACCTGTAGTCTTTATAATGATTTTCTGGGACAACAGCAGGTAAAGCTAATTGAATACTTACTCTTACCAAATACAGTAGCACATTTTCAAAGTGTTCAGTAGAAGTTTTAGAAGTTATTCAATCTGATAACCTACAGAAGAGCATGCTCTTGCCCTGCTGGTTGGGAATTATGGAAATTGTAGTAAAATATATTCAGAAGGCACCAGATGGTGAGGGGAAGCATTCTGTCCTTAGCAATAATGCAGTCTAATAATTAGTCTGGGAGTCAGATCCATGTTCCAGAAAATGTGGAAAAAAACAACAACTTGCTCCATAATTTTCATGTAAATTAAAATTACATGATTTTAATTTTTTAAGCTAAAGTAAGTTGCTCTCAGAGGCAGAGGAGTCTTCACCTCCAGGCATAAACAACACTGCAATCTTTGCTTTGAACTCGATGTAAATAGAATAGAATAGAATAGAATAGCATAGAATAGCATAGAATAGAATAGAATAGAATAGAATTCTTTATTAGCCAAGTGTGGCTGGACACACAAGGAATTTGTTTCCAGTGCATAAGCTCTCAGTGTACCTACAAGTAACAGTAACAGAAACTGGAAGGGACCTTGGAGGTCTTCTAGTCCATGTAATATATATGTATAGAATCAGGCAGCACTAAGAAGAGCTTCCCTTTTCACAGTAAATTCCCACGTCTCCAGTGAATTAAGGGATGCTAAGGTGTAAATTAATTAATTGCTTCAATTAACAGTTCAACACCTATGTCAAACAATTTGGGTACTTCGCAGGAAATCCAAAAGATACATGCCACGCAGTACCGGCTATTGTTTTTTTTTTTTAAGCTTTACTGTAGCAGGAGTGATTATTTTAATCAGCGTTAGAGGCCACCGTTTCAGAAAACAGAAGCCCAAACAAATCGAACTTAAGACACAATTGCCGTACAACATGGCAGCGCCCTGGAGCGCTTGTATGACAATACACTTGTACGTTCCGCTCTGAAGGGGAGCCCGGAAGTCTTGCTGTGCCAACGAAGAATTTTTTGCCTTTCGCTACTAAAACAGGTAACGTACACGTGAGCGCCTTTTATTGATAAAGGCGCCGTCAGAGGAGAATGGGGATTATTATTAGTTTGTGGACTGTAGGCAAAATATGCTGGATGTATGATTTCTTTTTCTTCAGGTATGGGTAGTCTCCCCTCCTCCGAGATTGTGATTATAATACAGTACTGTTTAGCAGTTATTGGGTCTTTTTGCTTTCTGCTTGAAGCCTTTTTCTAAAGATGTTAATAATATAAAGCTTCCAAATTTATAATGGACTTTAGTCTAGTGAAGTTTGCAAGATGGAGAAACTGCTCTTTGTGGAATCTCTCGCGGTGTTTCCCTGTTGAGGAAAACAGGAACATTTTGTCATCCAAAGATGTTGTTATTAGCAGTCCTTTTTGCTTTGGTTCCGTAATGTGGCCTTACTCCTCAACAAAGCTAGCTGGGGATAATGGAAATTGTTCGGTATTTTGGAGACAGTAGTTGGGGGAGGATTGTGGTCACTCCCAGTGAAAAAATCTTCATTATTACTGTCAATCTGCTGTGTAAATGTATTTGACTACCTTTATAAGGGATAGTGTTGCAAGAACTGAACACTTAAAAGTAAAATTCTGCCCTTTGTATAGATTTTAAAATTCCAAATAACTTACATATCAAGGCTGAAAAGTGGTTGCAAAGATTGCTGTGCTTTATTTTACTTGTACATTTTGAATATTTGACATTTAAATGGGTCATCTCATGCCTCAATAATATTGTTGAAGATCAAGAAAACTTAATGATGAAGCATATTGATCAAATGTGGAGCAAATTTCCAAGAATAAATAAATGTTTACAAATGTAAAGATAGTATGTCTTAATTGTTGTAATCTGCTGCATACAATGATGGGAAGGGTAGGGAAACTGTATTCACTTTTTGCTCATTGAACCTGCACAAAAATGGGAGCTGAAAAAAATGTTTGCAAAGTGTGTTTATTACACTTACCTTTCCTGTGAAACCATAAAAAGGCACATGTAAAAGTGTTGGTAATCTCTCTTTCAGGCATTGGCATAGCTCACACATTATATACAAATGTTGTTGCACATTTCAGTCCAATCTATGAATTTAAAACAAGATTTACTGACAGCTTTGACTATGTGTCACAATTGCATCAAATCCTATATCAGTGTCTATTTGTGTTGGGCTTGAAATTCCCAGAATTCTTACCAGCATGGATCGAAAGGCAGTGCTGTAAATAATGCCAGAAGCTGGGGTTGTTTGCAGTATGCCAGTTTTCTTCTTATTTTTTTATTTATAGGGTTTTGAGAAAGCAGTTAGGTGTGGCAGAAAGCTTGATGAATGTTTCCTCAGTTATAAATAATATGCCATTTTCCTGGTATGAAGAAAAGTAATATTTAAGGGGACAGTATATTTTAGTGTAGTTGTACCACTATAAAGTTTAAGTTATTCTGTTTATATGTTAATGCAGTTGAGGAATAAATCCACTGAAACAGAAAATGTGATCAGCAACAAATTATTACTGCCTATCCTATCCCTTAACAAGACTTCTTTCTGAGAGTTTTGCCCCAATCTGTAATATTTCACATCTTATATTGAATTGCATGATCAGTTCATTTCTGTAATTTGGAGAGATCCCTCCATGAGTACACTTGGTCATCCTGCCCCCAATTCAAAATCACATATAGAACATTTTTTTAAAGCACTGGTGTCCATGAACATGATTAACAATATAATGTCTTGTTTCCTTCCAATATGAGGACTGTTGTTTTATTTTTGTTCTCTCTTTTCTGTATTTTATTTGGCAAACAATCTAGAAGACAATCTTTTTCTCTTATTTCATAATTTCTAAATTTGCTTAGGAATTTTAATGAGTTTTGTCAAAAGTGTTCTGAAAGTCCAGTCATATTGGTTGAGATGACAGACTTCGTAGCTTGAAATAGCCTAATTTCGTGAATTTCTTCTATACTTCTTGTTCTTCATAAATCAAAACAGTTCTGAAGAGCTTGAGAGTTTGCACACCTTCTCACATTATATAATAAAAACATCACCAATTTGGATTTTATAATGGGTGTTCATTTTTCTCTCTTGGGTATATAAGACACAGTTACTTGTTGATATTAAATGGATTCATCTGACCATTTATGTGCGTTGACACTTTTGGAGATTATGAAATTTAGTCTTATAATACGGAAGCTTTCTGTATTGACTCCTCTTCAGCAAAACTGATCCTGGTGCAGAGAAGCAAAAAGATGAGCTTGGAGAAACTGTGGAAACCATTATAAACACATGTTAAGCCCAGAAAATGGGAAAAAAAATATTAGAAAGAAATTTGGACTGGTTTTGCCTTAACTTGCTGGGGTGCAAGAGGAAAGGAAGGGAAAATACAGTCAGGTTTTCAAGATTTTATTATTACTGCCTACATCAATAAAATAAAGTTCCTGTCATTCTTTTGGAGTCTATTTCCTGACCTGGCCTACCTCAAAAGGGCTGAAATGTAAGCACTGGAAAATGTTATATTAATCATACTTTGTATAATTTGTACAGAACTGAAATTAATTAGGTATAATTTTCTGAATCCCAGCAGGATTTTATTTTAAGAATGGGAACTACATTGGCCTCTTTCTCCTTTCCTGGGGCTAGAGTAAATCTTAAAGAAAAGTTGAAAAACATTGTTTTAAGATTTCACATTGCTATATTCTTGGCAAATACTAGTTATTCTTTAAATCACTAACTCATATTCTCTGCCTGAAAATGTTAATCACACACTGCTTGTCTACCCTACAATTTCTGAAATGCAAAGAACTCATGATTATTTGTTTATGATTATATATTTATTTATATCCTGCCCTTATTATTTTTAAAAATAACTCAAGGTGGCAAACACACACATTGCTCCTTCCTCCCCCTATTTTCCCCATAACAATAATCAACTTCATCTTCTTTATAATCTCCTTATCTTTTTTAGTATTATAAGGACTAAAGCTGATGAGACGAAGCAGTCCTCTCTTTCTAGAGAGGACTGTTACATAGAAAATGTTTTCAAAGGTTTGAAAAGACCAAGCAAATATTCTTTGACTTAGAAAGGTGGGAAGAAATGTCTCAAAGTTAAATCTCTGTATATTGGCTTAGACTGCTGTGTTCTGAAGGAAGTAGAAACTTGTATATGTGATTTCTTTTTTGTCTGTAATAAAACAATTATTCTAGCTGTGTTGTATCTGTGGACTTCCACTATATGCTAGTCCATAGGTCTGTCCCTTCTGATTGGTCAAGGCCTCCCAAGGAGATTATATGTAATTGGATCCCTGTCGTGATAAATTATGTCTTGACGGACAGGGTGGTTTTGCCACGTCTGAAAGAAGCAGTAGTCTGTCCCCTCTTAAAAAGCCATTACTAGATGCAACAGATTTGGACAATTTGTGTCCAATCCCCAACCTCTTTTTTTTGTTGAGACGGTTTTTACAGGTAGAATTTGGGACCAGAATTTTGTCACTAAATGTTGCGGTGGTAAAACACAGTGCTATGTGACCACATCATTTAGTGATGGCAATCCCAGCAGTTCCTGTTGCTGTATTAAGTGAGGATTGCAGGTCATTAACTGAGGACCTCATGTGACCATGACTTGTGACTTCTTGCTGGCTTCCCACAAAGTCAATGAGGAAGTGTACTTGGGGAAAAACATTAGGAGTCAGAAAGAAAAGATGCTGCTTAGGGAATGGTCAAATAAGAAAGGGTATAGTTTGCAGCTGGTTAATGGGGCAAAAGGCTCAGAAATGACTTTTTCAAGTTTCTCAAGCTATAAAGAAGACAGTGGGAGACTTGTACTTTCAGACTTGCAAGATTCTTTTAATGTAGCCTTACAATAAAGTAGAATTAGCTCACCTGGCTGTGTTTCCTGTCTGGTCTACCTGGTAAGGCTGACAGGAAGATGGCAGGAATTTTCATGTCCTGGATCTGACAGTCCTTTTCTTAGGTGGCTATATTTTTCTTCTGAATGCTTAAATTTCTTTTTTTTTCTCCTTTGGGCAAGATATTTATTTTTTGAAGGAAATCTTTCCTCTGTGGGCTTTTTGACATTGCATAGTGTCAAATTTTACATCTTCATATACATTACATTGAATACTATTATTACCACTATTTCCAGTCAATTTGGTAACATTCATATTTCACATTAGATCCTGAGTAACTTTTAATAATTAGGGTCTAAGTGGCTTCCCTCTGTTCACTTCGTTCACCAACATTTCTAAGATACATCTATTAATTTACCTCTTTGTCATGATCTGAACATGCATTTCTCTAAACTCTGTGTGGCATTTGAAGCCTGCCTGAAGGAGATCAATTTATAATTTATTTTTTCCTGTATGTATTCAGAAATGTCCCAATGTTTGAGCTACACCTGATAATTTGTTAATGTTGCTTGTTTAGTTTGGCTTAATTTATTGAATAAAACAGACATGTCAAACTCGTGACGTCACGTGACATCGCGCAACATATCGGGTGTCAAGTCTGCTAACATTGGATGTTCTTGCTTGCCATATGTGAAGAAGCAAACATGTTTTATTTAGCCTACATATCACTTCTAGAGTTAAAGCAGACAATACTAGCCTAGTAGGTGGGAAAGTATGCCAGCTAATCATAACAATATCTCAGCATAACACAGCCAAGGTCAGCATAACAGGAGAAATAGGGAGGGAGCAATTCACACTTCAGACTAATTGGAGCATATGATTGATGACTGTAAAATGAAGGAGTGAGTTATGCGTTGTTAGGGGGGGGGTGCTCGTGGGGTGGGAGGTTCAGTTTTTGGCTTTTTATTGTTCGTGCCGAAGCTATGTAGCCTAATAAAGGATTCTTTAAGGTAAATAAGCCTCAAAGTTCTTTGAAAAGCTACTTCTTTTCGGAACCATGTTATCGGGACTGTTTTGCCATTGCCGGCAATGGGGTGGGCGTGGCTTCCACGTGTTGCATCCGGCCTGTGGGCCGGCAGTTTGACACCCCTGGAATAAAATATATTTTAGCATAACATAGACAGAAACTTAGGAGGACATATTTCAGGTGAGTGGGTTCTACAGGCTTACTAATTTTTCTCCACAATTTTGCTTTATTTTTAATCAGTGTTATTCCATGTTATTAGATCACTGCGTATTGCCATTTTTGCAAAGATGGAGTAGAAAGGAAGATGAAAACATGCCCAGACCAACAGCAGTCACTGTTACTGTGGCTACCTTGTTTGGCATTGCAGCAGGAGGTCTAGCTATCTGGAAGGTCATCCAACGTCGAAAACATAACACTTGCATTACACCTAACCAAGGACAAAATGTTAAGGAACGAGAAAAGAAAGATATCACAGAAGACATTTTTCGTTCATCTTTACCTTCTCCTACAATTTGTTGGCTGGAGGAGATCCTTGAGGCAAAAGTAATAATTGTTTCTGAGGTAGAGAAGTGGAATGAAGTGGAACCCATAATAATGAAAGAGTTGGAATGTTGTCTAGTCCTTGGAATTGACTGTGAGTGGGTAAGTCTTAGAGTCTATTGAAAAATCTGTTTCACAAGCTAAAGGTAGAGGTTATTAATAAACTTCTTTACGTAGGCTTTATAAGCTAAGACTGAGGGCTGGCTTGAATACCATATACTCCCATGACACGTTAGGTGAGTCTGTGATAACATGGTTTGCTTGGTCTTATGAAGAGTTTCCCTATCAGCACTAAATATTTCTGCTGGAGCCTAACTTTGGAGGCTGGTTTGGATACTCTTTCCATGTCATAGTGACCACTATGTTTTTACAGATAGTAGTCATAAACAAATGCTTTTTTATCCTCACATCGGTTTTGGATTGACATCTGTTCATATGGCAGTTTAGGTACTTTTTACAAATTTTACATGGAACAGTATTGCCCAAATGTGAATTTATATCACCCTGTTTACTAGTAATGAACTCCTTTCCTGAAGAGTGAATCCTTTTGTAGACAAAACTGGACCATCCTCACTCAGAAGTATGATATGGGAGGGGTTGCTGACTCTGAGATTTCCAGATCTACCTAAATGTTTACAGAAAAATACTGATACTTGTAAAGAGTATGGGATACAAAAAAGCATAGCCAATTTGAGCAGCTTTTACATATTGCTTTTAGTCTTGTCCTACTGATTTATTTTTAATACACTAGTAGTTTTTGTATCTTCTTCTCATATAGCTCAAGAGGCTTACATATGCTACTTACATAAATCTGTTCAGAACCAGATTTAGTTTCAGTAACAAGACTGTACCCTTATAATACTTGAGGTTCTGTACAATATACATTCTCACAATCCTCCCTCCCTCCCTCCCTCCCTCCCTCCCTCCCTTCCTTCCTTCCTTGGCAAAGGGAAAAGATAATTGGAGATGGAAAGAGACAGAGAAGAAAAAAGCTCTGAATAGGCTACACAAAGGGTTAAAACAGTGGTTCTCAACCTGTGGGTCGGGACCCCATTTGGGGTCGATTGACCATTTCACGGGAGTCGCCAAGCAAGGCTGTCCGCCATTTTTTTTGTCCGCCATTTTTTCCCCCTTTTCCGGCGGGTGCCTTACCTCCCTTGGGCTGGGCCAGCTGGTGGTCGGCCTGCTCCGTCTCTGCTGCTTGCCAGATACGCCTCGGCCGGCGCAGGGGGTGGAACCACGCATGCGCGGCGCTCCCGGGCAGGGAAAGTCCTCGACTTATGACCGGTTGGGTAGTCCTCGACTTACAACCGGTTTAGTCCTTGACTTACGATCGGTTTAGTCCCGACTTACGACCAGTTTAGTCCTCGACTTACGACCGGTTGGGGTCACGGCATTAAAAAGGTTGAGAACCACTGGGTTAAAAGGCACCAAGTGATCAGTTCTTCTCAAATCACTGCCCGTAGCTAAACTTCACAGGCATCCATACTGTCCTTCCATCTATTTGTTGTTTTTCTAATGTATTTTCTATTGCTGCTGTAAAATGATTTCTCTCTTACTTGCTATTTTGGCAGAAAAACTCACCATCTATGAGATAAATCTGGTGTAACTAACCAATTGAAAAACCTATTCTGTACCCAAGTTAAATAAATCTGGATTTGCAATTCTCCTTCCACAATAGAATTACCATAATCAGCCAGGATTTTCAACACAATTGGGAACTGCTAGATCTTGATCTGAAATGCATAGACCTAATATTCTTGGCTTATTTATGGTATCACAATCTGGAGATGAGAGGTCTTCTGAGATTCTATAAGATGAACAACTAATTACGTAAATTCTACATTCAGCAGAATGGTTACTGGATTACATAGTGAATGTTTAACAGATTTAGGTATCAGGATCAGCCTGTATACTTGGTATTACTAAAAATACATAGAGTTGTCTGTGGATTTGACATAGTCTAGGTTGCCCAGTTGCTTTTCTTGCCATCATTCTTTTCGTCTGAATTCCTTCTAGGTCTCAGTGAAAGGAAAAAAGGTCAAGCCTGTTTCTCTCTTACAATTGGCTACTTGTAATGGACTTTGCCTTCTTCTTCGTTTGCCCCAGCTGACCAGTGGGGGACAAGTTCTTCCAAAGACTTTGCTTGAAGTTCTGGCAGATGGCAAAATCCTAAAAGTTGGGGTAGGATGTTGGGAAGATGCTAGTAAGCTGTTTCATGACTATAGTGTAACAGTCAAAGGAACTGTGGACCTCCGCTATCTGGCCCTAAGACATAGGTATGTATCTTTGAATCACTTTGTTTCTTTGAGAGGTAACCTTGATTTAACAGACCATTTGTGGTGGAAGTGTTGGATGTTGTTCCTGAATGGCAATAATATTGCAAACTATATCATTGGGGCATAGTGACATTATTATGCAAATGTAACAAATTATATCATTTGTGTCATCTGACATTTGCTTAAACAACATAATTTCATGCAAATGACTTAATCTACATAGTATTATCATACAAATTATGTAAATAACTGAATGAGGGAAATACAATAGAGTTTTTTGGTTTGATATTTTAAAAGTCCCTCATCCACAGACACAATGGATATGTCTCTTATTATGGTAGGGTGACCAGATGAAAATTTTGTCCATCACACCCAAAATCTATTAAATTGAGGTTTCATCATAATTGTGTTTCTGAATATTCCAATATTTTGTTACTTGAGAGGTTATAATTTAACATAATTTTAGGGCTTTTCGTTCTCTAGAATACTAAATGCAGTAAGTAATGGAGTGTTGGCAATGTTTCATTGTTAACTGTACTTTATTTATTTTAAATTTTGAGATGCATATGGGCCCTGTTTATACAATATGTTTTACCCAATCAGTTATTCACCTAGTTACGTCTATTGGTTGCTAGTTTGTCAGCACACAATTACACTTATATATCAACTATCTTCAATTTGGGGAATATAGTATCCCTGTTGATTTTAATCCAGGAATACTTGGTGTCACAAGGGTCTTTTTTTCCAAAAGGATATTAGCAAATCTTCATTATGTTCCATATTGATCAGAAAAGGGAAAGAAAAGCAGCTGTGCTGAAAACTAGAATTCCACACAAATTTATAGATCTCACTCATTCTAGCTACCTTTCTCTGTTGGCCCCCTGCTTTCCTGGCCCCCTAATTGCTCACCTTAAAACATTCACTTAATTCCACTTGTGCCCCTGTTAAGCATGCTGTACAAACATAAAGTTTTCTCCCATTGTTAAGTAAATGGATGCAGTTATGAAAAGAACTCAAGAAAAGTTAACCTGCTGCTGATAATTTAAATACCAAATCTCCAAATTAACAGACAGAGAAACACACACACACTCACATACACACACATAAATAGTGATGATTTGGTTCCTAAGCATTTGTTTGATGGATAAAGGGCATTTTTTTCTTCCATGTACAATCCTGAAGTAAGACCTTCTCCACAAATGGGCTCAGCCTGAAGTCTCTTGCTGAAAAGCTTCTCCAATATTCCCTTGACAAATCTCTACACTTGTGCTGCAGCAATTGGGAAGCGGAACAGTTAACTAAAGAACAGGTTTGTTGTCTTTGTAAGCTTTGTAGTAGCAGCTTTCAATGAAGGCAATTCATGGTGTTATCTGGTCCTTCATTTTGGCAGTCAAACCCCTCTTTTCTCCCAATGGAAAGAGTAGAAGGAATACAAGTTTCCAAAAATGGGAAACTTTTGAACATAGGAAATAACATCATCATCATCATAAAGTTGGAAGGGACCTTGGAGGTCATCTAGTCTAACCCCCTGCCCAGGCAGAAAACCCTATACCATTTCAGACAAATGGCTGTCCAGTCTCTTCTTAAAAACTTCCAGTGTTGGAGAATTCACAACTTCTGGAGGCAGATTGTTCCACTGATTAATTGTTGATTGACAGTCCTTCAAAGAGGAATCAAGATCCAACGAAGAGAGGAACTAGTCAAAGGTAGGCAACGAAGAACAGGACGGAAGTCCGCGGAACCTTTTATCGAACTGAGGGAGAAGAAACACCGTCGGGGACTCTATAACCTTGTGACGATAGTACAGGGGGGAGCAGGAAGAGAAGTAATTTGATCTGTTACCCAATTTCAGCAACCGTTCCTTGTATATAGATAAAATTATTATAGCCCTTTTCTGTTTTAGGGTTGGGTGGATCAAGAATTAATTCAATGACTTGGTGACTTTACTGAAAGAAGTGGAGCTTAATCAATGCTTTTGATTTACTTCAGGTTTTAAAAGTGGAAGCCTCTTGCTCTCCCACTTCCATTATCATTGTTAATTCCTCCCTCCAAACAAAAGATGGGCTGAAATTGGGCTCCCATTCCCATTCTATCTTAACTTTGGTGGTGGTGGGAACAACAACCACTGCTGTATCCATTTTGCTGCCAGATTCCTGTGAAGAGATCTTGAAGAGCAAATGTGGATTGTCATGCCTGTATTGTAGTCTCATTGAACATGGGCATTGACATCTTTTTGGGATGCTTCTAAATAGAATAAAGAGGTTTTTCCTCATGATATGCTTTCCTCTAGACTGTGAGGCAGCACAAAAGTCTTCTGGTGATGCTTCTTTGATGCTCTTATGGCTCAGCTGTATTTTGTCACAGTAACAAGGCAAGAAACTGAGACTGTGCTCACATGATTAGTCTGGGACAACTTAGAAGAAGTGCTTGATGGATTCCCCGACATGAGCTGCTATTGAGAAAAACAACCACCAATCCCTGTCCCTTAGGAAGAAGACTGTCGGCTTCTCAAGTAGACCAAACAGGAAACAGGAGAGAGACAGATTTTGATAGATGGCTAGATCATCTGCCAGAACCTGGCTTTAAACTCACTAATCTGTAGACAGGCATGTGTATACGGTTCTGTCTGTAAAAGCAGGCAATCTATATATTTTTATGGTAAATTCTGTGCCAGGAAAAGCGGAGAATGCTGCTTCTAAACTGCAACAGCTAAATTCAGATGTACACTGCACCTCCAGTAGTCTGAGAATGAGATAAAAGTAATATTACCCAGAGTCCTTCTTGAAGGAGAAGGGCGATCTAGAAATGTGATAAACAAACAAACAAATAAACAGACATCATGAGGGCTTGACCTAGAAGATGGCTAGTGAGGTAATTTTGGCCTATGGTTAACAGCATAAGGAAGAACTTTTTATTTACCAACTATTTTTCATTCTGTTTGTTATTGGGGAGAATTCACCTTGGGTATTCTTGGATATTCGAGATGCTGATAAATAAGTTAAGGCATGCCTCTTGGTTTTCTTCCTCAGATTGATTATGCTGCCCGAGATGCCCAGGTGTCAGTGGCTTTGTTCCTCCACCTGGTGAACCTTTCCTGCCCCCCTTGTTCGTCAGGTGATGGATATGTTCTTCCTGCTTGGGGAAAAGTCCTGAAGAAATGTCAGGGTTTGGTGGATGTACCCTTCAGGGGAAAAAATAATAGATTTGGTGATAATGAAAACCCAGGAAATGTGGAGCACAGCCCACAGTATGAGAAACTTCCATCTAATGAATCCTCCCCAATCAACCAGCAGGTGAAGGATCCTCGGAAGCACAAACGGAAGCCTCTGGGTGTAGGATATTCTGCAAGGTGAATGTTCCTTGTGTACTTTTTCATCAAAATGTTGAAGATTTTTTCTCTCTTTTGGCATAGTTTTGATTGCTGGCCAATCTTTTCTTTTCTTTTCTTTTGTTTTTATGTTTTTTAACTTTTTATGTGTAATTTTATTTTGTGATATTTTATGCCTTTTAATTTATTGCATCTTATCCTTCTTATGCTGGTCTTTGATCTTTATAAAAGTTAGATTAGTTTAGATTAGGACTTTTGTGAAGATTTCCATTGAAAATGCATGCCTAAACCCAGAGATTATGTATATAGTGCTTTAGAGACTATTTTCCTCTTCTTGGCCAAATACTACATGAATTCAGAGTTGGTTTTCTGCTTTGTGGGACACCAGAGAATCATGACAAGGGTTCCTTGAGTGTGGATGTGATAGTGAACTCTAATGAGAGTTATTTTCTTTGTTCTAGATAATTAGGCAGACATTTGTTCTTATTGCTCAGACTCTTATCAAGTGTGAAATGTTCATCTAATCGACTGCATTGTTTCTGTGGGAGTTAATATATCTACTTCTTTTTCCTCAGACCAGGGCTAATAGAGGGTGAGTAGCCCAAATCACCCAGCTGGCTTTCATGCTTAAGGACTACAAGCTGGGTACCCCTGCTCCTAGTCCAGCACTTTAACCATTACACTGCACTGGCTCTCATTGAATTATATGCCTTTATATAAAAATTCTGTGGATCTTACTCCCTATAAAATGTGCATAGTTTTAAGACTTTACTTGGGAGTATGTTTAGTTAAAATCAGTGGTAAATGCAAAGGAACAACATTGAGGAGGCAGTTATTTAACATTTTTAACAGTTGTACAGGTAGTCCTCGACTTACAACAGTTTGTTTAGTGACCGTTCAAAAGTTACAGTGGTACTGAAAAAAATGACTTGTGACCGTTGTTCACACAGCAGCATCCCCAGGGTCACATGATCAAAATTCAGAGGCCTGGCAACTGATTCATATTTATGATCGTTGCAGTGTCCCAAGGTCATGCGATCACCTTTTGCAAAGCAAAGTCCTTGGAGAAGCCAGATTCAGCTAACAGTCATGTTAATCATTTAACAACTGCAGTGATTCTCTTAATAAGAATCCCATATGCTTATCTGATAGCGATTGTGACATTCTTTTGTTTACACAGGAAATCTCCCTTGTATGATAATTGCTTCTTGCATGCTCCAGATGGGCAGCCTTTATGTACATGTGATCGCAAGAAAGCCCAGTGGTATCTTGACAAAGGCATTGGAGGTTTGTGAATCTGTTTTTTTTAGAGTCAAAAAGGCCTAAACACAAGCTTGGAAAGAAGTGTGCTTGCTGTTGTTGTGTCCTAAAAAGCTATGCTGTAATCCAAAATCCATAGTTGGATAATGCCTTTAGTAATACTAACTAAATGACATAAACGTATTCTGGTTTTCAAGGGTTTCAGGACTCTTCATGAAGCAAAATAATACAAAAATTAGAGGATGAGGAAACAAGAAATCCTGAAATTAGGCCAGATGGTATAGCTACATGGTTTCCAGCTTAAAGTAAGTCTTGAGATGTAAAAGCAGGTTGTGTATGTGAGTTCAAGGTGGCTTTTGCAAATATTAATACATACTGTACTTTCTAGAACACAGAAATGTTGGTTCATCCCCATTCTACGATGGTAAGGGTAAAGCACGTAGACTCCTGGCCTGGCTGATTTTTTTTTAAAAAAAAACAACCTAAAATCAGACATTAATTTTAGGTTTTAAAAAGTTATTTAAACCAAATGTAGTTTTAACCACAATGGTTAGAATGCAGTATCGGAGGCTAACTCTGCCCACGACCTGGAGTTCAACCCAGATGGGGCTCAAGGTTGACTCAGCCTTCCATCTTTCTGAGGTTGGTAAAAGGAGGACCCAGATTGTTGGGGGCAATATGCTGATTCTGTAAACGGTTTAGAGAGGGCTGTAAAGCACTATGAAGCTGTATATAAATCTAAATGCTATTACTATTTATATTAGGAGCACATATGGGTATTCATGTTTGATGGAATCAGGATGTTCATTCCATTTGATTCACTGAGACAGTTTCTACTGTTAATAATTGCCTTCTAGCCACGGGACATCTATGCTCTTCTACCTTTTTCTTTCTATTCTCTAAAATGGGATTTCTTATCTCAGTCTGTTTGAAAAAACAGAGGAGAAACATGGGCAGTTGAATCTTCCATAGACCTAAGGTGGACAAAAGAGATAGAGATAGAGCCATAAATTTGGAGGTTACCATGGAAAATTAGCAAATTTTATACATCATTAAACCTCAATGCCTCTTACATTGAAGTTCAATTATATATATATTAATTTTTATTTATCCACTAGCTGTACCCGGCCACGCGTTGCTGTGGCTCAGTCTGGTTAAATGGAAAAGAAAGAAAAGAGAAAGCGCACGTTTCTAATATGTTTAGACATCTATAATATGTGACATCTATATAATAATAGGTATATAAAAACACGCGTGTATTCGAATGCAACGTTGTGTCAAAATTTCAAAGCAATTGGTGAAGAACTTTCGGAGATTTAAGATTTTGAACAAATGAACATTTACATTTTTATTTATATAGATTATTTGGAGCAGGATTGGGGAGCTCCCCCCTCATGAACTAGAACTCTTAGTGCACTAGCCTGTAGGCTAATGGGGAGGGGTTTTGATGTTGCAGATCAGCAACATCTGGAGGATCACAGTCCTTGAGAGCATCAGAGAACAGGCATTAATATTCTCTTGGGGGTTTTTTTGTGTGTGTTGTTATTTCAGAATTAGTAAATGTGGAGCCGTTTACTGTGAGATTAAAGTTTGAGCCTTCTGGACGCCCTGAATCAACTGTGGATTATTACTTGGCAGTCAAAGAAAATCTGTGTGTTGCGTGTGGCAAAAAAGAGTCTTATATTCGGTGAGTTGTTCAGAAGCAGTTCTGCCTGGCTGATCAAACTACTGAAACATCTTAAGCTTCCTATCCCATTATGTTGCATTTAAGAAATAAGAATAGCATTAAATCCAATGAACATGTAGAGATGTCTTTGTAAACATACATAGATAAAGCTTTGAGTATTTCAGTGGCTGCGATATCAATTAATTTTCAGTGGCTGCAATATCAATTAATTAATAACCAAGATCATACAATATCAACTTTTGTACATCTGAACTTCATAAGTATTAAAGTATCATAGTATGATGAGTGTATTGCATATTGGCAAAGTTTACAAATTCTATGTATGTTTACAAACTGCTGTGTTCTCTTCACGTATTTTGGGATGCAAATATTGGCACTAATTACTTGTAATTGTTTGCTTTTATCATTAACTATCTGGAACACTTGTTTTTTAATGGAAAGAAGAAGTATAAATTAAACTAATAGGTGTTCTTGGTGTACGCTGAGCTTGGTTGTTTACTTGCAGGAATTTTATTACCCAACAAAGTAACATCATCAGTGTAAATGAATGGAGTTTTGCTGCCTATTTATATACATTAACTTCCCTGCCAATTTTGATGGAGGTATAGTTTTCTCTTTGATGATTTCTTGATCAGAGTATTGTTTTCTGCCTGATTATTTATCTGGTGCTGATCACTGCTTATCTAAATATGGGCTGCTGGAGGGAATGTGTTGTACTCTTTTTGTTTCCTTCCTAGGAGTTTTATTGTTTCTTTTGAATGATGTGTAAATCTGATTTATTAATTTATTAATATGGTTCATATGTCTATGGATGGCTGATTTAATGAATTCCAAGCTTACAGAAATTCCATAGCATTTTGGGACTTGGCTCGGTTTAAGAATAATGGACACTATAGAAAACAATACACAAAGATAATGAACACTGTGAGACAATTTGTTTAACCGCTTTTATTAAAAGCCAAGCTGATGATAGTACTCTCCAAAGTAGCATGTTACATAGCTATAGAGTAGTCATCAAGATTCTCTCTCCTGACTCATAAATCTTTTAAACATATTCTTTCCTGCCTTAATGTTGTGCCATCTGCCCTTAGGTTACAATAGACTATTTGTATGCTAAAGGTGTTGCACAGCACCCTACACTGTTTCACATCTTCCAAGAAGAACATTTAATATGTTCTGGACCTCCAACATCCTATGTTCTGCTACATCACTCTAGGTTGCAATTATGAAGCTGAGTTGGGTATAAGGGTAGCTTGNTTTCCTGCCTTAATGTTGTGCCATCTGCCCTTAGGTTACAATAGACTATTTGTATGCTAAAGGTGTTGCACAGCACCCTACACTGTTTCACATCTTCCAAGAAGAACATTTAATATGTTCTGGACCTCCAACATCCTATGTTCTGCTACATCACTCTAGGTTGCAATTATGAAGCTGAGTTGGGTATAAGGGTAGCTTGCGTTGTGTCAATTCATGTATTTGTGGCTGTGAGGCGTTATAAACTGGAGACCACAGCAGAAGACAGGAATGAAAATTTGTTTCTGTAAAAGAGTAAAAGGGGAATATCAAAATTTAAACAGGAAATGAAAGAACCTATGGCACCAGGCATCAAGGAAGTTTGCTAGTTTAACCTACCTTTTTTAAACCATCATTTGCTTTATAATAGCTCACAAGTAATAATGTTTACATCTCTGCCCTCCAAAGCTTCATTTAGTAATTAATGCAAATCACTTGGCTAACATGAAACACAAAAACAAAATAGACCATTGTAAGGTCATTTGGCAGCTCCAGGATGACATGCTTCTGCCATTACATTAAAAGAAAAGCAATGTATCTCCCATCTTGTTCTAGCTAAAATAAGTAAGGTACTAGAAACATTAAAAGCTGACAATAAAATATGCATGCTGACCAAACACAGGAAAATGAGTAGAGCAGTGTTTCTCAACCTTGGCCATTTTATGATGTGTGAATAAAGTTGAGAAACCCTGGAGTAGAGTCTTAATTAACAAAACAGTGAAATCCTTTGCATACTGTGAAGTGAACCCTATAGAGTTCAGTGGCAGCTTCTTCAGCTGAAGAGAGGACCTGATTGACCTCATGGTACAAAGGTGGCTGCAGGCTCAGTGGCACTATTGGAGATCCACTCTCAAATGTTGCTGTTTCCTCAACAGAAAGAACATTGTACCGCACGAGTACCGGAAACACTTTCCCATCCAGATGAAAGACCACAATTCTCACGATGTGCTCCTTCTCTGCACTGCGTGTCATGCGCTCTCTAACTACTATGATAATCATCTCAAGCAACAACTGGCAGAAGAATTCGGTGCTCCTATTGGTTGTGAGGAGGGCGTTCGCTTGCTTGAAGATCCCACCCGCAGATTAGTCCGTTCAGCAGCTAGAGCACTTGTGAATGCAGATAGCCTGCCTGCTGCCAGGAAAGAAGAGCTGTTGCAGCTGATCAGGGATTACTTTGCATCTGACACAGTTTCCCCAGAGATGGTGCAGGAAGCAGCTGGACTGGAAACCAGGTACAATGTCTTAGAGTAAGGGTTGATTAGATTTAGATTAAGATGCATGATTATTGCCTCCTTGTTTGCAATGTTTTCCAGGTTTCTGCTTACTGCGCCCAATTATCCAACTTTGGAGAGTGCTAGTGGGAAGGAGAGCAGGGTTTGGCTTGGGGAATTTGTTCTAGAATTTGGCCCGCAGTAATGAGTGGAATTCCCAGGGAAAAGTGAGAAACTTAATCTGAAGTAAAGAGTAGGTTCAGATCTTGAAGAAGATAAAAAAGACATCATGCTAGTGGTATCAAGTATGGACTTGACTTTCTCCAGCAGATGGTGGTGTAGAGTCCACAGGATGGGTTAATTATGCAATCCTGCCTAGCAGAACTAAGACAAGAAAAAACTCTTGCCACGCCTCTCTCTGGGTGTGACTTCCCCAGTTTTTTGTCTTAGTCAAGCTTAGCAGACGTGTTTCTTTGTTTTGCAAGGCTCCAGACTAGGCCTCATAGCCTTTTTCCTTTTTTTCTGTTTTTCCTCTGTTGTTTGATTTGGATCTTTTAGTTTCCTTTCCTTTTAACCTCTCTGAGGCAAATTTGCGATTCCTTTCCTTCTTCGGAGAGGGATCTGTGTGCCTGCCGCCCCTCGGTGCTTTCGGCGCGGGAGATTGCAGGCCCCATCTAGGGGGATCGCTGGACGGCGATCCTCTCAACTTCGCTCGACGGCTGTACTCTGCAGATCGCTACCTTCGCCTCGTCGCCGCCGCCATTCGATCGCAGCGGCCGCTGCGCATCTAAGAGCAAGTTTAGAGCAAGTTTCTGGGCTCGGGGAGGGGGAAGTTGCTTGAGGTTTCGCGTCCCTTCGATTCCCCATTTTTTTTTCAAGCTCCCCGGTGGCCGGCGAGTCTAATATCACCGCGGCCGCCATTTTGGGAGGTCCACGTGGCGGGCGCCATTATTCCCGGGCCTACTTTCCTCTGCTCTTTTCCATTTCGCTTCATCAGAAACAATATCTTATCATTTTGCTAAATTTATATATTGGTTATAGGAGTAAAAATATAATACTTAGGTATAAAAGTTAAAAAAAAAATATTTATAAAGATATATATTTAATAGGTATAAGGATATTAATAGTTTAGGTATAAGGATTTATAAAATAAAAAATAAAAAAATAAAAAAAATAAAATAGCAATAAAAAAGAAAAAATAATAAAGAGCAACAGAATATTGCTGCTGTTGAACAAGACTACGTGGTGGACACCTTTCATCTCGTACCTGTACTGCCTGAGTGCCTTGGCCTGTGAGCAGGCCCGTTCAGGGGGAAGAAAGTACCTAGTTCAGGCATTCTGTGAGTCAATTTCTCTTCTTTACAACTGAATTTTGACTGGGATCTCCTAAGGTTTCTTTCCTTAGGCCCTGTTTATAGGGAGAGGAGTGAAGATTTCTTGTTTTTTGCCCACCTGCTGCATTAGC